TGAAACCAGAGTCAAGCCCCAGCGTGGAGGATCGGCATCCGTCACCAACACATACCACCTACACACTACCCCCAGCCGGCCCTCGAAAAAGGTACACGTCGCACGAAATAAACTCAGCCCTCCACACCTCTGCTCTCGGCATTCGTTCCTGACCCCCCGGGAGACACGGAGACAAAACCCTGCTCCCCCCCCAGCCTTCTCGATCAGCAACGATATAATCCATAATCAACAGTTAAAGGAAATGATACACACTACATGTGTTCGTGTTGGTACTTAGCTGTCACACATTTACTCGCCCCACCAGTTATCGGGTGTTCTTAGTTTCCATACCTCTCCTGTGCTTTTACCCCGAGCGACAGTCATCAAGTAGCGGGCGGCGGCGAGATTGGCGAACGGCATGAGACACGAACATCTCCGACGGGCTGGAGCGGCGCCACTGCACCCCGCCCAACCCATGCTCGTATCTATACAACCTTTCGAACACTGGTCAAAACAGCGTCGAGTTTAGACAACGCGAATCTGTCTTCCTGTTTACCGCGCATCATTTATGAGCCAATACCCCCACTCTATTGACCCGACACCACGCACACGCACACTCGCAAGCAAGAGGGTGATCAATAAACATTTCCCGTATTTGATTTATTTCTCCCAGCTTATGCTGCTCCTGTCGTGCCACTGCGCACGCGCTCCGCACCACGCCCGCGTTTGTTCTCTCACATCCTTTTAAGATCCTGCCCTCTTAATCATATCTCTCTCGCTCGGAAACATAATTCCTCTCATCGTAGCATACCAAACTGACGAGGCTACCATTCCTATGCTATCGGCTATCAGTCTTCACATACTTTCCTCCCTCCCTTCTTCCCCACTTCTGCCCAACGGTGTCAGTTTCCTCGTCTTTCCCCGTTCTTTGTCGCTTAGCTGCCGTCGAGCATCCCGCGGCTCAGAGTTCTCGCGCCGTGGACCGGCACCCGCACAATCCTTTCCCGTCAAGTTTCGCTTTTTTCATCAATCGCAACACCATCTGCGACCGACACCCTCGCGCGCACCGCACTCTCTCTTGACGGCGCTCACAATCGTGCTCACTAAAATCGAGGACACCATCCCCCCGGGGGGCGCAGGGCCGCGCGCCTCGCCCATTAATCACGCTCTCGCGCGCAACGCTCCCGCTGCACTATTCTCACAAAAGCATCAAACCGTCTCCTCCTCCTCTTGCGCGTGCTGCAGACACCGAGAGCCTCCGACTCTGTGCCCGTGCTGCTACTGACACGCTCATCCTCGGAGCATCACTCTCACGACGTTTCGTGTCATAACTCGGCCAACTCAAACCCCACACACCGCTCGCTGTCAGAGGAGGGACTGTTGACTTCAGTCCAGGCGGCCCTTCTGTCCCAATCCACAGGCCTCGTTGGTGCTGAGAACTCTTTAGCTTCTCTGACTAAGTACAGATCGCGGGTTCACACCGAGTAAACCTCTCACCACCAGAACCGCGACACCTCTCATCTCCACCGCCTCCATGTTTTCTTTTGTGTTGCCATAAGTTAGTCTCTCTGCGTTTGTGCGCTGGGATAATGCTAATAATGCTAATGCCAGGATAAAAAAATGGCGGCTTCACAAAACTTTTTGGGAGTTTTACGGGCCGTGGTTTGCAATCCGCCCAGCCAATCAGACATAGGAACCTTTCACGAAAGTACCTGCTCTCTAGAAGGGACGGAAAAGGGGGTAAAAAAGGTTCTGATGAACTAATTGTAGTTCTCTTTTTGGTGTGAACGCGACATTTAGGAACTATATTGGAACTAAAGTGGGAAAAGTACTGCGGTGTGAATGCGGCTATGGATGTATAATAGGAACTGGATACAGCGTGGGAGGCGGGAGGCGGGAGCCTGCAGCACCCCCTGATGGAGGACAGGGAATCTGCACGTCCACAAGATTAAATACAAATATAATACCAAAAAAAAGAATGTTCAGCCTTGATGTAACAACATCCATAATTAAGTAAAGATAACACCCTTTTCACCCCGGTTACATTTTCCATTTGCCCTGTACGATGGGCGATGTAAGTGATGTTGGCTTNGACTGGCTTCAGTAGAAGCTGCTGGGACTCCTGAAGCCTTCCGAGTAAATCGCCAGAACGCCGACACCTCCTCATCTCCACCTCTCCCATGTTTTCTTTTGTGTTGCCATAAGTTAGTCTCTCTGCGTTTGTGTGCTGGGCTAATGCTAATGCTAATAATGCAAATGCGAGGATAATAAAATGGCGGCTTCACAACACTTTTGGGGAGTTTTACGGGGCGTGGTTTGCAATCCGCCCAGCCAATCAGACATAGGAACCTTTTTCTCCCACGAAAGTCCAGGGACTGAAAAGGGGGTGAAAAGGTTCTCATTAACTAATTTTAGTTCCGGCTCTTTTTGGTGTGAACGCGACATTTCGGAACTATATCGGAACTCAAGTGGGAAAAGTACTGCGATGTGAATGTGTAATTATAGAAACAAAAACAACAACCTTGTTCTAAAAATCATGCTGGATGCTATCGCTTTTATCAAGTTTTGGTACCAGTGCTCTGGTTAAAGGTGACCAAGAATGTAAAGTCGATGGGGTCCTTAAAGCCATCCATGTGATTGAGTTATTGACCTTGTTACCAGAAATAGCGCCGTGCTGTTTTGGAGAGCGTCTCCACTGGGCTCCTTTACGTTGGCCGTTGTACTCCACTGGTGTCCAGACCCTCGTGGCTGTTTCATGCTCCTCATTCTTGCGATTCGCCCTGTGTCTAGAGATATACTTTGCCTTCTGTGTGCCTCATCATATGTTCAAAATCCTCAGGTCCTTAAAGAGCCTTAACTTATCATATGTATATCAGAAACATTAGGAACATAGAAGCAGCCGCGGTGATGTTTACATGCTGCTGGGGTTGATAGATAATGTATGTGATTGGGATCGAGGGGAAGGGGCCAGCATCCTTTGTGCAATGCTGAGGATACCAAGGTTAGTTTGAATGGCATTCTGCTGTTTCGCATGGGATATTGGCAATATATGAGGCCTGGTGCATTTTTATAGGTGTGTGTCCTTGTTTAAAAGACAATGCTGCTGATCTTTTTCCTTTTTCCCATAGTGTCCTGATGCCATGTGGGACTGCTCTGCTACAGAGGCGCAGAGCAGTCTGTATGTAGCTTGTAATCCAGTTAAGTAGTTTGTACTTTGAAGGGAAGTGTGCTGTAGGCTACTGGGTCTTGCTCATGCATCGAGAAACGTGTAATATACTGTTTTGTACACTTCAAATCATTTATATAAAAGAACCTTTCTAAAGAGATGATTTACTTGGTTTTTATGTAATAACTCTGTTTCATACTGTAGCTAACTGTCGCGCAGCATGACTGTACTTTGTCCCCTCTCTTCTGTCCACCTGCAAACCGACTGAATGGCTTTAGGAACGTGCAAAGGTTCACGCATCAGATAGGTTTGTGTATACTGTATGTGTACCATGAAATCTGACCCATGATCAGCCCTTATGTCTATGCTTCTGTCTCAGTCGGCCCCTCGGAGGTGTACTGGGTCTTCTGTCCATTTAATGTACGCTCTACATGAGGGCTTCCTCTGTTGCTGTTTGTTGTTTATACTGTGTTAATAAAGATTATTGATTTCTAGAACAATGTCAATGTCTTGTGGTCCGTCAGTCAATACATATGACCTGTGTGAGAGAGTTGACATATTGTTCTTCAGAATATTATTTGATTAATAAAATATGTTGATTACTGGTTAGGTAACACACTACAGGAGTAAAGGATAGAACTAGAAAGTATATCGTTGTACTATGTATAAATAATATATCAGGGTATATGCAGGAATCCTCAAGTCAAATGTAATTCCTTTTAAGACCTTTTTTAAGACCCTTTCCATACATTGTAAGACCTCATCGCCACTTTGAGTTTAACCGGTTACCTTGGCGACACACTTTACCTCACATTGACTATATACAGTATTGATTGTCCTTCCTCATTATCTTCCAACCATTTGGACGCAGACTTGCATTTCCCCATAACGATGTTGCTTAGCAACCGGCGTAAACGGACCTTCGCGCTATCAAGCAGTGAGCGTGCGATGTCCTGTTCAGATGACGTCAAATTCAACGGGATGCCATAAATAAACTACACAGAATCACACTACACACCTACGTAGG